TCTTCCGATGACTCTCTCTGTTGCACTTCTTCAATTGATTCCCTTTTTTTATATATATTTTTTTCTTTTCATAACCTCCGAAGAAGCGAAAATGTTTTGGTTTTTAAAAGGAGAGGGGGCGAGTGAGGAGACGACGAACAAAAGAATACAAATAATTTATAGTAATAATAATAATAGGAATATAATAACAAATAAATTGAAAAAAAAAGAGAAAGAGATTCTCTTCTCTTATTTGTGTTCTGGCATTGCAAAAGTCGCGTAGTCGCGTTGACGCGCTTTCTTTCTTTCCTTCTATCCACCCAAACAAAAAGGCCAAAAAAAAAAAAAAAATTCTTTTCATTAAGCTAAGCAAAATAAAAATAAAATAAAATAAAATCGTGATAAAAAAGAAGAGGTCGCGTTGGAGGACCGCCCAGTGCCCACGGCCACGGGACAGGACGGCTATTTACAAATTAGTAAGATAATAAAAAGTAAATTTTTGGGGGTGGAATAAAATCTAAAAAGGAAGGATATTGATTTATTAACGGAGTAGAAATAGAAAAAGAAAAAGAAAAGAGAATCAATGTCTTTGAGAGAAAACTGAAAACTGAAAACTGAAAACTGAAAAGGAGGGAGAGAGAGAGAGGGCGTGCGTGTATCCTAGCCCTAGTAATAGAAGAGAGAGAGAGTGTAGTTATGTCAAACTCAAACAACGCAGTGGCGAATGGGGTGGCGGGTGCTGGTGGAGGAATTATTGCTCAGATTATCACGTATCCTCTCCAGACCGTATGTATCTAAAAACACTCTTTTTTTTTTTTTTTTTTTCTCTTTAAATTCCATTCTTATTTTTCATCCCAAATAAAATACCTCAGTTATTATTTTTTTTCAAAAAAAAAAAAAAATTGTTGTTAGGTGAATACGCGGCAACAAACGGAGAGAAGAGCCAAATCCAAAGTATCCAATTCAAAAATCACAACTGCTGATTCTTCTTCTTCTTCTTCTTCTTCTTCTGGTCGTGCTAGTACTCTTGTTCAAATCCTGCAGGTATTTTGGCACTAAATTCAAAGTGAAGAGCTATTTTCATAAACAAACAAGTAGATGCCACTAATAAAAAGTAAATTAATTTTTGTATTTTTTTTTGGGGATTAATTTAAGGTAATAAGAAGCGAAGGTTGGGGAGGTCTTTACAGCGGTCTCAAGCCTTCTCTCTTTGGAACTGCTGCTTCTATGGTTTGCTTTGCTTTTCCCAAATTATTTCATTTGAATTGAATAATTTGGAACGATATTATTGTCATTATAATATTTGGGAATGGCATTGGCATTGGCAGGGAATATATTACTATTTTTACCAGGTATTCAAAAACAAGGCTGAGGCAATCGCACTCGCCCGCCAAATCAAAGGCCGCGGCGATGGTTCTCTTGGCATGTTTTCCTGGCTTCTCGTTGCCGCTCTTGCTGGGTGCGTCCCTTTTTTCTTTTTCTTTTTTTTAATCTCGTTTTCATCATGACTATTGACTAATTCTGACTTACTAACTCGCTAATTGTAAATACCAGTAAATACAAGCTTATAAATGATAGCCAAAATATGTACTTGCAGTTCCTTGAACGTATTGCTGACAAATCCTATTTGGGTTCTCGTCACTCGTATGCAGGTACGTTTCTTTCCTTACCAAATCCACTTTCCAAAATTTCTCATTTTTAAGTCATTATTATATTTTACAACTAACTAAATTGATTATATTATTAGCTAGGTTGTATTCAGACTTTAGCCTCACACTCACACACATATATATATATATTGGAATCATATTCTAACATATAATGAATATGTTTTTACTTTTGCGCCCGCTGTGTCCTTAGACGCATACTCAGGCGGAAAGAAAAATTATGGAGGAACGAAAAGGAGCTCTACTTAAGGAGGCTTCTGAAAGCAGTTTCAACAGCTCTGTTTTGCAACACAAATTGGCTGAGCTTGATTCGTTGAAGCCTCGTCCTTATGGAACTCTGCGAGCAGTTAGTATTTCCAATTTCTTCACTCCCTTCCTCTTTTTTCATTTATTTTTCGTCTTTCTCGTTGCTTCACAACGCATATTCAGACTTAGAGTTCCTAGTTGCCTTTAGTTTAGTGTTTGGTAGTTGAAAAAGAACAAGCGAAGAAAAACTAGAGTTAGGGTGTGTTCGGGATTGCTTTTGAGACTCTCAAAAGCACTTTGCATAATAAACGATGCAACTATAGTGCTTGGTAATAGTGTACAAAAGCACTTTGCACACAAATTAATGCACTTTTTAAGTTATTTTGAGAAGTTAGAATGTGTAGTTTTTAAATTCTACTTTTGTTTCTGTTTTTGCTTTAATTAAAAGTAGTGCTTCTACTAAAAGCACAGCAATTATTTTAAGAGCAAAGCAACCCCAAACTGGCCCTTAAAAAGAAAAGAAAACAGAGGAAAACCTTATCACACGGGCCTTTAAAAAATTTCATGCGCTTATGTATATGCATGTAATTTGATATGTATGTTCGAACTACGTGCGTAGCTGAGAGGAAAAGAGGTAAGCAGAAGGGGCTAACAAAATCTCTCTAGAATTTTGATTTTCCCCACCCTGTTTCTAGGGAAAACTAAAATCCTTCAAGACTTGGTAAAATCTTCCCTCACCTTAGTCTATTTCTTTTTTTTTTCCTCTTTTGCTTACAAAACGAAACAATGGAAAAGCATTTTATCTTTTTTTTGTCTCTCTTTTTAATAGAATCATTCTGTTGTTGAATGCAAAAAGTGATGTTGTGGATCCATGTATTGTTGTAAGGCCCAAGAGGTGTATGCTGAAGCAGGAATTGCAGGGTTTTGGAAAGGCATTATCCCAACACTTATAATGGTCAGCTTCTATTTCGATTCTAAATAATGTAGATAATATATTTTTTGTTTTTGTTTGGAAAACCTGAACAAAAGAGTGGCGGTTGGCAGGTATGCAATCCATCAATCCAGTTCATGATATATGAGAGCTCATTAAAGCATTTGAAGGCAAGACGTGCAGCTCGCAAGCAGGGTCAGGGATCAAACAATCCAGCTGCTTTAGAGGTATAACATTAACACCAAAACATTGGATATGATGGGATAGCTTCCCTCTATACTTGTTAAGAGGTCACTCAATCGGTTGAATAAGTTGGTCCTTTTATGAGGGAGGGGTATCGAAGAAAAGAAAAGATAAGGAAGACCTGAATTCTCTCTCTTTCTCATCTTAATCTCTTAATGAATAGGTTTTCTTATTAGGAGCCTTGGCCAAACTGGGAGCAACTATCTCCACTTACCCCTTGTTAGTTGTCAAGGTAAACGAAAACGAGAATCCTTCATCTTTCTGCTACATCTTTATGTTAGATAATGCGCTTAAACCTTTTAAAAAACGACTCACATATTTTCGTCGTATGTGGTTCCTCGACCTTTGCAGTCAAGGCTGCAAGCAAAGCAGGAGATTGGGGGGAATATTTCCTTGAGATACTCAGGTTTGGTTTTAGTACATTCTACCACATCATTGTCTATTACATGTTTAAATAAAAGAAACAACATTTTTTCACTTATACCCATGTCGTCTCTAACTTCAACTTCAATGAGGGCTATGTCTCTCTTTCAAGTTTAAATTTTGTTGTCTTTTTTTGAAATGGGGATAAAGTCGTTGTGCGAATCTATAATTAGAATGTTGACGGCGCAGGTACCATTGATGCTATAATTAAGATGATCCAATACGAAGGGTTGACTAGCTTTTACAAAGGTATGAGTACGAAAATAGTACAAAGTGTTTTTGCGGCCTCCGTACTTTTTATGGTTAAGGAGGAAATTCTCAAGGCTTACATCTTGACGGCTTATAAATGCAAGCAACTCTTATCAACATCAAGTTTTGGAAAGCGATCACCACACGCCGGATGACACTTTCATATTTGGTAATACATAATATATGTACAAGGAATGATCAAATAAAGTTTCATCACATTTAATGAATATATGAAAATGACGTCTCTTTATAAACATGCGTGTATAACAGATCAATACTTATTTGTGGCTGGACCTAAACCAGGCTGCCTACGTACCCAATGAAGGGAAAAATGACGTCTCTTTATAAACATGCGTGTATAACAGATCAATATATTCGGTTGTCGTTTTGACTGTCAAAAGAAGATTGCTTCTTTATTCCTTAATAATTTAAGGTCGTTTGTTGATAGGGTTGCTAGGTTTTGTACTTAAAGTTTGTTGATACTTGTACAGTGTCCAAATCCTAATTATGCATAATCATGTAAAATAAATCAACAATCGTGCAAGATTGGTCAATTCTGTCTCTCCCCTATAACAATCAAGAAACATAAAAGATATTGTCCGCAGTTAGCATAGTAATTACTAAGCTCATAGCAATAAAAATAAAAGATTGTGGGGACAAGCCCCTGTATCCAAGAACTGTGCTGATTTAAGTGGTACCCTTTATTTGCTTGAAGCTTGAAGTTGTATAAAGGGAAAGCATCCATTCCTGTTGAATCAAACGCCCTCACTTGCTTTAACTACGTGATTGTTGTTTGGGTTACTGTGCTTTTAAAATAATCGCTACGCTTTTAATAAAAGCACTACTTTTACTTAAAGCAAAAGCAAAAGCAGAAGTAGAATATAATGTGCCCGTTTAGTGGAATTGTTGCTTTTGCTTTTAGTCAGTAGAGGAAGAGCAGTACAAGCTGTAGCTTTTTTTCAAGTGTTTTGAATAAAATAGTTTAATGGGTCAAAATAATTTTATAATTTTCTAATAAGCAATAAAAGTGTTAAAATGAAGTGTACAATGTCCTAATAAAACTTTGGTACAAGTTTTAAAATCTGTTCAGAAATTTGTTTTTAGAAGACACATTTTATGGCTTTGATTGGAAGCTCTTCTGAAAAAGTGAAAGCACTACTAACAGATCATCCAAACACTTTTAAAAGCGGCTTTTAGAATCAGGAAGTCAAAAAAGCTTTTAAGAAGCTCTCACAAACATGTCCAAAAACTATACATACTAACTTCTCAAAATAACTTAAAAAATGTATTAGTTTGTGTGTAAAGTGCTTTTATACACTTTTACCAAACACTCTAGTTGCATTGTTTATTGTGCAAAGTGCTTTTTGAAGTTTTAAAAGCAATCCCAAACACACTCTAGATCGACTACTCTAGCTCTGTAGACTGAAAAGACATTTTATTACTTATTTGATAAGTATAGCACATTGGTAGTAAAATAATCGAGTTTAGCAAATAGCTTATTAGCTTAATAATCAACAACATTAAAAAGAATGCTCATTGACAGGAACTTTTTTTATTCAAAATTTTTATAAGAGAAAAATACTATAACAGAATCAGAATCATGATTTTAAACGCGTGAACCAAACAGACTTAAAGGTGTTTTTCCTTTGTAAGTTTGAACCATATAGTTTGAATAGAGATTTACAATCATGTTCTTTCTTCATTTTTATATAGGATCATTTTCATAAATGTTCTTGAACTTTGTACTATATTTTAACATACTCCTTGAACTTTAAAAAGTCATTTCACCCCTTAAAATATGTATCTTAGTTTAAAATAACCCTACACTTATAAAACTAATAAATTGTTGACATTACATTACTTATGTTTTTATGAATATCTCCCAAACTATTGATATTAAGTTAACTTGTCCCTTGAATTATTACTTTTGTGTCAACTTGCTTCCTAATTTTTTAAAAGATCGAGGAGCAAGTTGACACAAAATCAATAGTTTAAAGGATATTTATGAAAAAACATTAGTTCATGAAGTATTTTGAATCACTTTTCATACTTTAAGAGGTGAAATAAATTCCTTTTTAAATTTTAAGTACGTTGAAACAAGATACAATGTTTGGAGGACATTTACGAAATTAATCATTTTATCTATTTATTTATTCACTTTTTATATTCTGAAATCACGCTTTGTTTATTGTAGCTCACTTTCCTCTTTCCTCTTTCTCCATGCAGTAGCACTTTGATTTGGAGTATTCTTTTCTCTGCCCCAACAGAGATATGGAGCTTTCCTCTTTTGTCTTCTCATTCTTTTATTTTGTCTTCCTTCTGGTCATTTCTTTTCTCTGTTGCAACAACTCATAAACAGGAAAAACAATTTGATTATGAGGACTGAGGAGGAGACGCTCGCTACTTGATAACTCTGAAATTAGAGTTATCTTAGGCATCTTTAAGCCTAAAGTTTGCTCAACCGAAGGTAAGTTTCTATGGTTTTATTTTCAATTTTTGTGTTTTGTGGTATGTCATTCTACGATCTGTATATGTGCTACTTCTAAGGTGATTTTGAAAAAAAAATGAATAAAAAAAGGCTGAGTTGTGGTCTATGGTGTGTTGGTGTAAATAGCAGGAACTGTGAAGAAAATGTTACAGCATCGCTGAAGCAAAATTGGGCAGTAGAGAGCTTACTGGATGACGTTAGCGCATGACACTACAACAGAGAAAAAAAAGTACACGAGGATGAGGGCTGTGCACACGTTATTTTCTGACCAAACCAATCACCTGGTAACACATTAGGGTTTAGGGATTTCGGGGTTAGGGTTTAGGGGTTAGGGTTTAGGGTTTAGGGGTTAGGGTTTCAAGTTTAAGGGTTAGGGTTTAGGGGTTAGGGGTCAGGGTTTACGGGTTTAGGGTTTTAGGGGTTAGGGTTTAGGGTTTAGGGATTAGGGTTTAGGGTTTCGAGTTTAGGCGTTAGGGCTTCGGGGTTAGGGGTTAGGGTTAACGGGTTTAGGGTTTAGGGGTTAGGGTTTACGGGTTAGGGCTTAGGGTTTCGGGTTTAGGATTTCAGGTTTCGTGTTTTGGGTTTTGGGTTTAGGGTTTTGGGTTACAGGTTTAGGGTTTAGTGTTTAGGATTTAGGGTTTATGGTTTAGGGGTTAGAGTTTAAGGTTTAGGGTTTCAAGTTTTGGGTTTCGGTTTTAGGGTTTAGTGTTTAGGATTTAGGGTTTATGGTTTAGGGGTTAGAGTTTAAGGTTTAGGATTTTGGGTTTATCGTTTAGGGTTTAGGGGTTAGGGTTTAGGGTTTAGGATTTAGAGTTTAGGGTTTTGGGTTTTGGGTTTTGGGTTTTAGGTTTAGGGTTTAGGGTTTAGAGTTTAGGGTTTAGGGTTTAGGGTTTAGGGTTTAAGGTTTTCAGTTATGGGTTTTGAGTTTAGGCTTTAGGGTTTAGGGTTCAGGGTTTAGGGTTTAGGGTTTCGAGTTTCACGTTTCGAGTTTTGAGTTTCGGGTTTCAAGTTAGGGTTTAGGATTTAGGGTTTAGGGTTCAGGGTTAAGGGTTAAGGGTTTAGGGTTAAGGGTTAAGGGTTCAGAGTTCAGCTTTCAGGGATCATGGTTCAGATGTCAGGGTTCAGGGTTCAGGGTTCAGGGTCCAAGGTTCACGATTCAGGGTTTAGGGATCACGGTTCAAGGTTCAGGGTTCAGGGTTCAGGGTTCAGGGTTCGTGTTTAGGGTTTTAGGTTTCAGGCTTATAGTTTCGGGTTTAGTGTTTTGGGTTTATGGTTTAGGATTTTAGGGTTTAGGGTTTAGGATTTAGGGTTTGGGGTTTAGGGTTTAGGGTTTAGCGTTTTGGGTCTAGGATTAAGGGTTGAGGGTTGACGGCTGAGGGTTGTGGGTTGAGGGTTTAGGGTTTAGGGTTGAGGGTTTAGGGTTGTGGGTTGAAGGTTTAAGGTTTAGGGTTTGGGGTTTAGGGCTCGTGGTTCGGGGTTCGGGGTTTGGGGTTTAGGGTTTGGGGTACACTAATCAGTAAGATTGATGAAGTAGCAATTAATGCAAAAATAGCCAATTGGAAAGCAATAGTCATGTTTCTAATCCTCCAATCTACCAATAAAAGAATTATATACCATTTGATCTCTTTATCAGTCAAAAATTGTAAAAAAAATGCATTGTCGATGGATTTTACCACGAATCCATCGAGGACAGTTTTTTACTTTACAAAGGGGAACGCTATATCATGGATCTATATATAGAGATAGACAGACCTATAGATTCATACTCGATATCTTTATATCAATAGTAATGATATCAACTTATATTGTTATGTTCTATTCGATGGACAAAGAAAATAGAGATTTTCTTTCGGAGAGATGGCCGAGTGGTTGATAGTCCGGTCTTGAAAACTGGTATAGTTCGAAACAAAGAACTATCGAGGGTTCGAATCCCTCTCTCTCCTTTTTCTTGGTGACTAGATTTCTTTCTTTTCTTTATTTTAAAGATTTTGACCTTTCAGTATCATAAAGGGAATGGCTCGGCTAAGTGGAATAGCCGAGCCAGAAAAAAAAATAGATATATATTATATAGAAATGAGTTGAAAAGAAAGGAAAAAGGAATACTCTTTAAATATGACCTGACCCACCCAACCTAATATCTAATATGTATGGTGGAATCAAATTGATTCCTACTTCAAGCATTGGATCTCCCGTCTCAGTTAAGAGGAGTCATGGAAAGAACAGGTTCAAAATCACGATCAATTCCTTTTTCAAATCCTGCTGCAGCTGCACGAGCCCTTCCCGCGTGCCATAAATGACCTACGAATAGGAAAAATCCTATAACAAAATGAGAGGTAGCTAACCAACTTCTCAGAGAGACATAATTGATTGCATTGATCTCAGTAGCTACGCCACCCACGAAATTTAAAGAAGCTAAAGGAGCGTGAGTCATATATTCCGCAGAACGCCGTTCTTGCCAAGGCTGTATGTCTTTTTTCAGCCTACTCAAGTCCAAACCATTGGGACCCCTTAGAGGTTCTAACCATGGAGCTCGTAGATCCCAAAAATGCTTGGTTTCCCCTCCAAAAATAACTTCCCCAGTCGGGGAACGCATTAGATATTTACCTAAACCAGTAGGTCCTTGAGCGGATCCCACATTAGCTCCAAGACGTTGATCTCTAACTGAAACACGGAAAAAAATCATTGGCTTATCAAATTATCTATCGAGCCATGAAAAAGATTCAACAAAAGACAGAAACAAATCCACTATC